AAGCTTTGCTGGCTTCTTCATCAGTCAAAGATGTTTAAAAGCATACAGGAGAAGAAAAGTGATGATATTAGAATCATAGGCCTGCATTTTGTCTCAGATATCAGTTAAGATTGGGTTGGAGGGATCTCAATGCAGGCAGAGGCCATTCCCCTTCTTAGCCATGTGGGGACCAGGGACAAAGGGTAATAAAAAGACAGGGGAAAACAGTTACTCTTCCAAATGAAATTTCAACTCCATTATTAGCAGAAAAGTAACCTCCCTTGAGATCTAGTGAAGACTTGAAATCTTGCATGATGTATTTTTTGCATTTTTCTCCTGTTCCCTCCCCCTGCATCTTCTGTTGCTAAAGGAGTTGAAATTTCACTACTTGTCTTTTATTGCTCTTTGACCTAGTATCATTCTTTTGTGGATTTTATATTTTGTTAGATTTTGCTTCATGGCTAACATGACTACCCCCAATATATTCTCTATTTATCAGATTCTCTATTTATCAGTTGGCCCTCCATATCCACGGATTCTTTATCCATGGATTCAACCACCCACCACTTGAAAATATTCCAAAAAATATATAAATTTCAAAGAGCAAACCTTGATTTTGCCATTTTGTATAAGGAATACCATTTTACTATGCCACTGTATTTAATGGGATTTGAGCATCCATAGATTTTGATATCCATAGGGATTCCTGAAACCCAACCAAGGTCCAACTGTACAATATTTATTCTGGACAGGGATTTTCCCCTTGCGATTTTCCCCTTCTCAATGTCTTGGCCTCTTTACTTCACCTACCAGACCCACCTTTCCCCCTTTAGTACTAATTCTATTCTACTTGAAGCCCAGCCCAGTAGCTGTGCTAATAAAGGATGAGAACAGCTGAGCATATTTGTGAGAAAAATAATAGTGACTAAGAAATAATAATCTTTGAATTTTTTTTGACATGATCTGATCTGTATCTTCCAAATTAACTGACTGGAAATTATTTCTCATGTATTAGGACAGGACATTTTAGTCTCCAAGGTCAACTTTTGTTGCAGATTCCACACAGAACTACACTTATAATGTGGACATTTGAAACATTTTTACTATAAACAATGTTTCGAGATGTCAGCTACTGCCCATGCATGGTGTTTTTTCTATAAGCAAAAATGGGCCAAGACAAAAATAATATCCCAACAAATTCTAGTTCTAACTAGAAGACACCAATTGAATCAATGGGGTTTACATAAATGTTGACTTGCCATTCAACAATTCAATTGAGTCAGCACTAGCTAGAATGAGATATTGGATTTAGGTTACAAATTCCATGAGGATTATGTTCCAGGGTCTTTTTCGCCATTGTTGCTGCAGCTCACAAGATTGTAAATAGATATTTGTTTTGAAATAATTCTTTCTTATCCTGAAAAATGGATTAGAGCACCAAGTCAAGCTATTCCCAAATACCCCAACAATTTATGTTACCAACTTCTCAAAAAGCTTAAGCCAGAACTAGTGTAAACTAGGCAGAATCACCATATATGAAGGTATCTGTCTTCCATCTCACATTGGGGTCAAACAGACCAGCAGCTTGGAGCCACCGGAGACAGCCTGATTTACCCCTGATCGGCACAGGACCATGGCAGCCAGA